AAGGGCAGACTTTTCGACTGAACTTGGTGACCCAGTGCTGATTACCGGACCGGCTGGTGACAAATAAAACCACGTTTCCCACAAGGCCTTGCGTTGCCATCCAGGAAGTTGTTAGGTAAATATCTCTTCCTGACAAGAAAGCAGTTTACTCTTAAACGCCGTTTACTCTTTTTTTGGTGAAGATTTTAAAAGTCTTCAGTCGTCTTCTCACAGTGTGGAGTGTTTGTAAATGAGGTAGACAACTATGCATTTCTTCAACACGTCAAATTTCGTTGTTTATGCGCACGACAGCGGCGATACGTAACTTATTTTCACAAGACTTCATATAGAAAACTGCCAAATTTAAAGTTGCCTGGCTTTAAAAGAAAACATGCACCTGCTGTAACATAACTTAAGACGTGTTACGAATCTGTTTTTTTACAGTCTTTAATTCGGCATACATAAAAACATGCTTTCGATGTAGGAATTAGCTAGCCAAGTAGTTGTACAAGTCAAAGTTGTTAGCTAAACGAAGGTCGAAGTAAACATGCAGCCTAAATGTTTAGCCTGATCTCTTTGTCTTTTTTCCTTTCCCCACTGGCGTCCAATTACATGAACTTCCTAAAAATTCTAACTTTCTCTTACAATTATTTAAGAAGTTTCAGTGCGTCTGTTTTTGACAGGAGGCTGTCATGTTTTTAGCTGCCCGGCTGCTTCTCATTTCTCTCCCTCCAACTACTGCTACCACTTTGCATGTCATCCGCAGGCGCTAGATGCAGCAGGGGGGCTCCTCATCTCCCAGCTGCTCCGCCTCCACCCCTCACTGCTTCCCCCTCGGCCACCTCAACGCAGCTGCATGTGGAAGTGAGACCTCGCCTGAACCACAGAAACACGAAGTGAACGCACACAGCGCAGTGAGTGTCAGTGACAGATTGACCAGGGGGATCATGAGACAAGGCAATAACTCCTACATGATGTGGAGTTAAGTTCACTGCTGTAGAGTAGGAAGTGTTATCAGTGTCACTGCAGCTGTGGAAGAGGTAAGGCGTGCCACACTGGGTCTCATTTCTGATTATTATCAAACATGCAGCACATGACTTTGTGCCATGCTCAACTGCATCGTGGCTTTGAGAGAGTCCAGCTGTTTCTGTAGCGTTTTTGTTTGAGAAACTGTGATAACTTAGTGGAGTTTATGTTATTTTCACTGCAGCTTGTATCTGTTGAGTTGCTTCCGCAGAGTTTTGAGTAGTAAGGGGTTCAACTCTGATTTGGGCTAAATTTGGTTGACAATATTCATCTTTAAATTTGATCAAAGTTCAGAGTTTGAGCTCTCAATAAGCAAATCTGTGCTTGTTGGACATTCACTGAACCTGCTGCATGGCTCTGACTGTCTAACCTCTACACCTCCCTGCCTGTGCTGCATTTCTGATTTACTTCTATGTGATGATTTAGCCTGCAGGTCTGTCCAGGATGCGGCCCATCATCATCTTCTACACATGGTACCTGCTGGGCCTTGCTCTGAGCGTGGCCTGCGTGGTGTGTGTGTGCGTGTGGAGCAGCAAGTGGCGAGGCGGATTCGCCTGGAATGGCTCGGGCCTTCAGTTCAACTGGCATCCCGTCCTGATGGTGACAGGTCTGGTGGTGCTGTACGGCAATGGTGAGCGACTTTTCACATTTAGTCTTTCATTTCTGTTTCTCACTTGTGTTCTTCCCTCTGACGGGGAGGCTGTATTAAGGTAATTACACATTGAAGGTTTTGTAGAGAATAAGCTGTAATTTGATGCATCATTCCTGTAACATGAACGTGAGGTAACGTCTGCAGTTGCAAATCATTCGTGGTCAAATACCATCGAATGAAAGAAGATACATTTTAACCATAAACTGTAATGGCTCTTCTCCATTAGTACATGACATACTGGATATTCCAGTGTAATCCTGGCTGCTTTGTTTCATTCAATAAATAGTAGGAACTTCACACTTCTGCTAATTTGCACCTTTCAGCAGATAATTTTATGAGACTTTGAAGCACTTTGCTGCCTACATTTAAATTTTAATGTGTGAAACCAGAGTGAATATAACTATATTTAGCTGTTAATGCATGAGTGAGCGTCATTCGCTTCATTAGTTGTAGGGTAGTATATCATTGTTGACTGGGGGTGGATGTAGGGTTGCAGTTTTTATGTTTTTGAAATATCTGACAAATTGAATCAGCTGTGACAATGAATGTTGTAGTGTAATATTAAAATATAAGTATTGTAAATAAACAGTTTTAGCAAAAGTGTCAACTTTTCAATGCTTAAAAAATGGGATTTTGACCAGAGCTCGAGTGTGCAACCAACTGTCACATTTTCATGCGCTGTGCCAGTGCTCCTGACATTTAGCAGATCTGTTTGTGTGTGTCTCTCTGTGACTCGCCCAGATAGATATAATCACTTGGCTTCAGCTCTGGTAAATCTTACATTGGAGCACATCATTTCACTGTTTTAAAAATCATTCTTGTTCACAAACTTGTCAGAGTTGCTACACTGCAGTAAGCGAGTGGAGACAAGCAGCTTCTCAGTGCACAGCTACCTCACAGTGTTTACTGATTCATGTGAGGTGTTTAGGCAGCATTGGTCATTTGTAGGGTAGGTTATATTAGCCCACGTTTAACTGCATTAGCATCTTAATGCACCGTGGTCTTGCTTGTTTAATCATATCTCAGTGTTTCCCACAATTCTCAACCTGTGGAAAACACTGACATATGATTAAACAACAACATTATGCATTGCAGTTATTGAAAAGTGTATATGGCTATGGTCAAAGCTGTCGGAGCATTGATGTTCCAAACTCACCATTCCAGAAACGACATACTTGTGCCATGACAGGAATGTGGCTGGCAGAGCCGCTTCCCTCTCTGTAGCCGTGAGAAGTCAGAAGTATAACAATAATACATCTACCTGTGACTAAGATCCCAGATCATCTTTGTTGGAAGGCATGGGTAACATGTACAAGAAAATTTGCCCACACCTTTTATCACTGATATTAATCAATTTACATAAGGTGTTAATAACAAAAAAGCTCGTAATGTAAGTGTATTATTCACTACCAAAACACACAGGGAAAAATATGGATGTGTCTAAGTCATGTGTTAAGGCACTTAAAATAAAAAGTTAAATGCACCAGCTGAACCAGTGTGAAAAGTTAGTCTGGAGACCGTAATCATATGTGACTCATATACACAATATTTAGCATTTTACTTGAAGTTATGACATAATGATCACTTATATGATATTACATAATGAGAACTTTTGTAGTTGATTATATATGAAGTCAGTAAGCCTAGTTTGACAGAGCCTAGCAGTGGTTCTTGAACTGAGGGCCCAGCATATAGACTACATTGATGGACAACATGTCACCATCTCCTCCCACTGTACAAAAACAAAGCGAAAACATAACAAGATTGAGAGCTACCACTGACGTTTAGCCTCCTGGCAGGCTCAAATGTGAGCAAACAGTCCTTGAACTTGCACTCGTCTGGCACAGGGTGGACTGCCTTGGACTGTTTTGGACACTCTGTGTGCACAGCTGATTAAAAGCATTGTCTCACCAGCTAACTAATGTACTTATTAACTACTTTGTGGTTAAGCTAGCTTGCTGTAAAATTACCAATAACTTCTAAAGCACAAACTTCTTATGTACCATTTCCAACAACCCAACTTGCCTCCTCGACTACTTTTTTCAGAGCTGCCGTTGATTATGGCGACATCCACCCTTATTATGGCATCACATAGCTAATCAAAAACAAACTGATCAGGAAAATGATCTCTTAAACAAACAGAAATGTTACGGGAAGTACTGAATATTACAGAAAACATATTTGGAAAGAGGGCTGCACGGTGGTGCAGGTGGTTAGCACTGTTGCCTCGCACCAAGAAGGTCGCCGGTTCGCGTCCCAGTGGGGAACACCGAATCTTTCTGCGTAGAGTTTGCATGTTCTCCCTGTGCAGCATGGGTTCTCTCTGGGTTCTCCGGCTTCCTCCCACAGTCCAAAAACATGCTGAGGTTAATTGGTGATTCTAAATTGTCTATAGGTGTGAATGTGAGTGTGCTTGGTTGTCTGTCTCTAAGTGTAGCCCTGTGATAGACTGCTGACCTGTCCAGGGTGTCCCCTGCCTTCGCCCGAAGTCGGCTGGGATAGGCTCCAGTCCCCCTGCGACCCTAGTGAGGATTAAGCGGTGTATAGATAATGGAAAGAGGGCTGCATGTGGCTTGGTGGTTAGCACCATCACCTCACAGCTAGGAGATCCCGGTTCGCATCCCAGTTGGGATGCCTGGGTTCTTTTGGAGTTTGCATGCTCTCCCTTTTTAGCGTGGGTTCTCTGGCTTCCTCCCACAGTACATTTTATTTATTTTATTTGATTGTTTATTGGATGTGGACATTACAATTACATTGGACGAACCAGATGCATACTTTGAGTGTTTTAGCACATGTGCTAATTCGCAACACTTGTCCACAGGATGCTTTTAAAATGATAAAAATAATAAAAGTAATAGGAAAAGGAAAAAAAAGAGAGAGAAAAAAATACATTGTACAATAACATTACAACAGTAAAAGAGAGGCAGTTTATCAGATTAAATAAATATGTAAGCTACAAAGCAAAGGCAACATTGTCAAACAATCAGCCAGTTAAAACTATTCATGTGAGCACTGTTGTTTTGATTTTAGCTATTGTTTGAGTCCTTTACTGTTGGTCTCTAATTTTAGATTAGTGGGTAGAGAGTTCCATAGTTTTCCCCCCTTTACAGAACAAAAAGTACAAAAGCATATTGAGATTAATTAGCTGTAATTTCACTTTTGTAGCTTGGCTTATGTTCCACATGTTAACATGGAGTGACACAGGCTTCATTATCTGTACTGCAACCGGCCACCAGAGTGCAGTTGTAATATTTACTTGGGGCGCTGTCATCTCGCCCATCCTTACATCCAGACTACAGTCAGGCTCCTCCAAGAAACTGCAAGACTAAAGTAATCTCGCAGAAGAAGTGTAAAGTCTGACCAGTAATTGACTCTAAAAAGTACTTGACTAACTAACTCCTGTAGAGAATATGTCAAGTTTTCTCTGAGTGAATAACTCAGTCTCTGAATTCATGCTTTTTGTTCAGTGTGCTGGTGGTCACTTTTAAAAGTACTGCTTCACTAATAAGTCTGGAAGCTTATAAATCTGTGGTTATTGATTGAAGGCTGTGATAAATAGTTGGCTCGACTGCAGCTCTCCACAACTCTTAAACCGTTCTTTTGACTTTTGGAATTTCTGTTAAACAAATAAACACAGATTTGTCACTCTGTTTGTAGTTCAGGAGTTACACTAACAAGACTCTCACAGCACACTGTCATTCAGCAGGTTTGTAGGTTTAGTGTTCGCACAAAAACCTTTAAAGGAGCAAACCTGGGAGCTAAAAACTGCCAGTACAGTGTATGTAGTGAGACTTTACTTTAAGAGTACTTTAAGAGGTTCAGTTTTCATACAGAAGTTTTATAGCACATGACAAACAACCAAGTCATCTGCACAGTGTTAAAGTTTAATCTGCCATTCCTATAATAAACCTGAGAAATACAGTCTGACTTTCATGTAAGCGCAACAAATAACGTGTGTATAAATAAAGTGCACATACCCAAATAAAAACAAGAAATAAAGATATAGACATTTATTTGATCTTGAAACATCAGTACAAACTAGTGTGGCTCATATTTTTTGTGAAAGTCGTGCTCAAGTGGTTTAATAATGGACGTAGCTGGGATAAACAAAAGAAATCTCAACTTTTTAGTTCCTACTACGAGTCAAACCACAGGAAGATACTGCATCCAATGTCCCCCATAATGCAACTGCATATTTCGTTAGGCTTTGAGTCTTCCAGAGCGCCACAGAAGATACAATACAACTCAGTTTCACTTTTCAAAGTACAAGTGCATGGATGAACGCATTAATGCATCTCTTTTAAATGCATTGAGCAGCTTCCTCATTGTTGCCTCTGCCTTGCAGGAGCTGTGTTGTATCGCGTCCCTCTGACTTGGGGTCAGAACAAACTCCCCTGGAAACTGCTTCACGCAGCGCTGATGCTCCTCGCCCTGATCCTGTCAATTGTGGGACTTTGTGCTGTGTTTGACTTCCACAACGCCAACAAGACCCCCAACCTCTACTCCTTACACAGCTGGATCGGAATCGCAGCTACAGCTCTTTTTGCCATACAGGTACACAACTTTAAATACAGACACACAATCGCTTTACTTGACTAATACCAAGTGCAAAGAGGTGGACATGATTTTTTTTCCTTATCTGGCTTTGTGTGTCCATGGCTGACAGTGGGTGGCGGGTTTGGCTGTGTTCCTCCTGCCCTGTTCCCCCATATCACTACGTATACTCCTGAAACCTGTCCATGTGTGGATGGGAGGCAGCATACTGTCGCTCAGCATCGCTGCCTGCATTTCTGGCATCAATGAGAAACTCTTCTTTGTTCTGTGAGTGCCATTTTTATTATTACTTCAAATACATGCTTAAATTTAAGATAGCATGTTAATGTTAGTTTTGTTTCCACAGAAAAGGCAACACTAATGGAACTCTGCCATACAATGCCCTACCACCTGAAGCTGTGTTAGCAAATTCATTAGGAGTTTTGATTGTGGCCTTCGGCATGGTTGTCTTCCTGATTCTGTCCAACCATAAATGGCAGAGACCAGACTCCAGGCCTGAGGATATGGCTTACACGGTGAGAATACCGGCCTGATTGATATTTGATGAAAGAGATTAGTAGATTTAATTTAATTAAACATTTAACAAAAATCCTTATCTGCTTTATTTCACAGCCGTTGCTTCAAGAAGAAAGTGAATGAAGGGAAACTTCAGAACTGCTCACTGCATGAGGCAAAATTAGTTCAATTATTGTGGATCACAAGCGGCCGAAAAATTTCTGTTCATAATGTAGAAGCAGCAACTGTGGAAGGATTATCTGTCTATTGTGGATGTATATATTTATTTGAAATTGTATTTAAAATTTCTTTATCACCAAAAGAATAAAAGAATGTTTGTCATCAAAGCTGTGATATTTTTTTTTTTCTTACACTGTTTAATCAGTCCCATGATGCACTGCGGCTTTAACGCCTTCAGTAAAGCTGTACCTGTGCCATTGTTGTAAAGGTTGCAAAAACATACTACAGGATTTTACCTACAGTTGTTCACGGATGGTGCTGCATTCGTCATAGGGACATTTACGAGCACAAACTTTGCCAATAGTTGGTGCAACTATTATGTTAGCTGTAATACCAATTTACTATATTGAGATAGACTTCAATATAGCAAAACCTGCAGGTCAGTTTACAAATCATTCTGGAGTTCTGGTAAGGATTCAGCATCATCTGGACAACTACTGGATGAAACACCATAAAATGTATTTGTGGTTCCCAGAGGATTAACCACGCTGACCTATAACTTTGGTTAAAATTTCTGTTTGTGCATCCCTCACTGGAATCATCCCTAGTTGTATGCTTAGTGCTATATAGCAGATGTTACCGTGCAAACATAAACCAAACTAAGATGTCAAATGTATTAGCTGCTCAACATCAACAGGCTACCATTGTTATTCTGAACATGTTAACTTGGTGATGTGAACCTTTAGCTGAAAGCAGAGCTGCAGGCATAGCTGCTGTTCCATTTTTGATTGGTCAGTGGAGCCTGTAGCTCAAGCATCTGTGGTTCACCAATATTTTTCCTAGTTTTCAGCTTTACTCCATGGCAGCACTGGGAAGTGATAACATTACACAAGTCAGGTAAGGTCACATAATGATACCTGAGCACATTCTGTCAGCTGTTGTACTGAAAGCAGAGAATTAAGACATTAAAGCGAAGATTAAAAGTACACGTCCAAGCTAAACTAATGAGTTTGTCTTACTGTGAGTGAAGTGTTGATGTTAATTAAAATCCATTTGTCATTGATGAAACGCCTAAAAACCCATTACTGTGTATTAAAATGGTATATTGAGACAGTTTTTAAAAATCTGTTCCCCTAGCCTTAAAATAGGTTAGATGTAACTCTGCACTGCTGCCTCCTCTACAATATGCAGATCTGTTCAGTCTCTGACTCTTTCTCCATCCAACCCTCCGCTACTTGCTGTAGCTGGAACACACCAGCTCACCTGCAATTGGTCAAACATTGTAAAACTACACAACACAACAGCAGGTTGTGATGCTGAGTAATTCAGTCATGCATGATTGAACCATAAACCAATTCTGAAGAAGTAGAATGATGCAGAAAGCCCTGTCCTGCAGCTGACAGCATTGGTTCCTGAAATTTGTTGCTAATGAAACCTAAAAGTGTGAATCTGTATTTTCAGGGCTGGCATCTGTACACTGTGGTTTCAAGTTGCAAGTACACATACTGTTGCCTGCTTATTTCCCTCATGGTGTGTCTACCAGCACATAAAAAAAACACCATATTGACATCTTAACATTTGTTTTTTTAAATCACCTGGTAGGGGGGTCTTTAAATCAGTGCTGACAGTATGTAGAAATAATTTCTTTTAGATTAATTCTGATGCTACCATGAATGAGCAAGAAACTTCAGCAGTATGCATGTCTTTGGCTGGGGTTCAGAATTGTGCTGTAATGTGCAAAATATCACACAAATCTGGAAATTCACATGTTTTCATCCTGTATGTTACACAGCTGAAGGAAACATACTTTCTGTTTTGCCTTTACAGTGGTTTCCCTCATCTAACGGCTGCACTTTGACTATTAAATTATCTGAAGTCCACAAAATGTCAAAACGCTTCTCATCCGATTTGAGGCCATCTGCTTGAAGTGTTTTCTGGGGAACCAAAGAAACTGCTTTCATCTTCCTAAAACTAGAATGAAAGCAAACAATCTGTCTGTCTGAGTAAACTCTCATTTCTCTTACTTTGTGGTTTCTACAGAAACTACTCTTCATTCACACACTCATATAATGAAGGATTTTTCTTTAACGTCGCCCGAGGTCGAGTGTAGGCGCCATGCAGACTTCTGTTGACACTTGAACAGTAATGCAGCTGATGATCTTGTAAGACCCTTTATATTGTTTCTCTGAAATCTAAGTAATACATATGCCCTAACCATCTGTCTAGGATGTACCCTGCGTTTCGCTCTATGCCTGCTGGGATAGGCTCAAGCCATAAAGCAGGTGTAGATGATAAATGAATGAAGTTACCTAAACGCAAGCCAAAACAAGACTTAACAGAATGTACAAACCAAAGGTGGCCAGGGTTTGCTGCTGCAGTTGATCTTGATAACAACTTCTTGTTGAAATTCTATATTTGTCAAAGCCACAAAACAGAAGTAGAGACAGATCTAGAGGAAGTATGCAGCGACCGTGTTCATCACAGTGCTCAACATAGATTTGTGAGAGTGAAACCACTGCAGAGAATAATTTGTCTCAATGCCAGACGCTCTAAACAGATTGCAGCGAGCTGAAGAACAGCAGGACGTCACTAAACTCATCCTAATGGAAAGCAGCAGACCTGGTGCTTGGTTGTAACGAGGCACAACTCTGGGGTGACTCATGATGTTGCAACTCTGCAAATTTCTTATTTCAGCATTTTTGGTTTGCTTATTCTCTTTTTAGCTGAGTTTGGCAAAAATGTTGAGACCAGTCTCATGTCTGTCCGTTGAATATGAAGCTGCAGTGAGAAGACAGCTAGCTTACCATAAACACAGGGGACAGGGGAATCACCCAGCATGGCCCTGTCTAAGGATTACAGAACATATGTCTCTAGCAGCACCTACTGCCTACCTAATGTACTATATCTGTTATAAAACTGTCTACAGCCATGCTGAAGAGTATGGCTAACCGTTTTAACATTTTAAAGCTAGACTGGATATGTATTGCAGATATGTGAAATTCAATTCTTCTAAGTCAAGAAGAACATTTCAGATATCCACACTGTCCTTCTTCTTAGGACAAATGTTGTCAAATTTACCATTCATATATATGGGGTTTCT